TAAGGAACCAGCAGATCAAGTAGCTTTTGGAATAAAACACCAATTTTTTTAAAATTAAACACTATCTAAAGATTTGCATCGAAGCGTTTATTTTTGATAGTGATTTTAATCACTGTCAGATATCATTATACTTGATCCAACTATACCACGTCACAACTGTGCCGCGACCCCCCTGTGCTGGGTTTTTTTATTAACTTATATCTAATTTCACCACGAAGACAAGTCCAAAGATCAAATTTTTTTTTTTTATAATAAAGTACCCTACATTAGCTTTAATTTAAGATATATATAAAAGTGTCAGACCTTTAGAAACATTTCAAAAGTTAAGTTGAAAATGTTAATTTTTTTTTGAAAAAGTTGTCATTTTAAATCCCCCCCAGTGGGTGGTTAAGTGTCAGATTACAAAAAATATATACCAAATGATAGACAAAGATATCAAGCATCTATAAAAAAATTATATTGATATGTTCATTTTTGTAAAAGTTATGGCAGCTTTTAGTAAAAAAAATTGAAAAAATTTCGAAAATTAGCGATTTTTAAATTTATAATTTTTTTTGAAGGTTTCCCCCATTTACGGGGAACGAGGGAAATTTTTTCTATTTTTGAGGGTAATGTCTTCGACTAGATACGATTTGTGATCTTTTGACGTATCGTTGAAAGAAATCTGTTTGATGAGAGCTGAGTAAAAAAAAATAAATAAATAAAAAAAAAAACACATCATAGTCAAACCAATACCTTCTCAGCTTCGCAACGAAGCTAAAAATTAACGCAAAATATTTACTGGATCACAAGTTATTATAGATGTCAGAATATAGTAGGACAGTGTTTAGAAAAAACGTTATTTCGTGAATGGCACGTTCACGTGCTCACGTTCATATTTGGTGACCGTCATGCACATGTCATTTATTTTTCCAAATAGATCGTGAGCATGAACGAAATTCATATTTTTAATGAATTTGAAAAATTATAGGGATATTCATATAATTAACAAATTACAGTTTCTACGAACTCATTACAAATTGGAATAATGAAATTGTATAAAAAAATAAAATAATAAAATATATCCGTTATAATTATAAAAAGTATATTTAGAATCTTTAGTCCATAAAGTACCTTATCATATTATGATAAGGTACTGTATAAGCTAAATATTCTGTTATCTTGCACTTAATTTGATTTAATCACTGGGACTTCTAAAAATATATGGACGGTTAGAATAACACCCAAAGCATTGTACATTGTTTACCTGCTACAACTTGTTAAAAATCACTCAATATGTCATAAATAATTTCATTATATTTCCATTGTAGTACAATCACTTTGTATATTATAATTATTATTTTCATTTAATAATGAAATCAAATAAATAGATGTGGACGCTCTACTATTAATTCTGACAAAACAAATGAATATGCCAATAATTTGGAAAATAAGAAGTGTTATAATAATTATACAATTTATGTATCTATTATCTAAAATTAAAATATTTCATTCTAAGGTATGTAGAGATGTAATTAAAAGTAAATCAGCCTTATAGATCTTCATAGAACAAATATGTATACAAGGTGAAAATACAATTTTTATTTGTTTTAGGGTAGTGAAAAACTTCGCTGGGAATGCTATGGCGCAATGAATTCAGTTGTTGCTTTAACGCTGATCCGGCTATTCATCCAAAATCTTTCATATATATGCCTTCTTACTAGTTCCTTCAATAATAACGACAGCTGATGTAAAAATCTTGTCAAATCAATAATGTAGATTCTACCTCAAATAGTTGTGATAGAGCTTAAGGAGATGAAGATGAAGATAATGAAAAATTTTCTTATTTATATACCCTCCTACAACAAACCTCAATTGCCCTGCCGAAAGAATGATTTTAATATTATTTTGTTGGAAATATGAATTTGTTTGAATTAAATTATTTATATAATGGATATCTTATATAGACTGAAGGTAATCTATTCTTATTTTAAAAACGTTTTTAATGAACATGAACGTATTCACAAATTTGTAAACAAATTAACTTTTGATATCATTGAATATAAAAGTAANATTCACAAATTTGTAAACAAATCGACTTTTGATATCATTGAATATAAAAGTAGATACTATCTATACCAATGATAATACTATCACTTTGATAGTACCACACAGTTAATGATAACAAACTGACATGATTTCAAATTTTACTATTAGCCTAGTAAGAAGTCGTTTAAAAAATATGTCTGTCATTCCATTTATTGGTAAGATTTACAATAATTTAAACTTAGACGTTTGAATTAACTTGAAATTATTTTATGATTTTGGTAGATATTGGTGCTAACTTAACTGATCCTATGTTTCAAGGAATTTACAATAGTAATAATAAACACAAACATGATTTAGACGATGTTTTAGAACGTTCATGGAAAAATGGTTTAAAGAAAATCATTATAACGAGTGGGAGTCTTTATGATTGTAAAGAAGCCATACGAGTAGCTTCATTACATGGTAATTATCTTGATAAAGTAATGTTAGTGTTTATTATAGTTAGTATTTTCTGATTATTGTTTATTTTAGAAAATCTTTATTTCACTGTTGGTTGTCATCCTACTCGATGTGATGATTTTGATAAAGTAGAAAGCCCAGAAAAATATTTCAATGATTTGGCTGATGTAATTAAAAATAATAAATCTAAAGTAGTAGCAATCGGTGAATGTGGATTAGACAATCAAAGGCTTCATTTTTGTTCTAAAATTGTTCAAGAAAAGTTGTATTTGTGTATTAAATACTTATAATGAATCTTTAATTTCTAACTTTCAATGTGTTTTAGGTATTTTGAAATGCAATTACAGTTAAGTTTTCAATTTAATTTACCATTATTCTTACATTGCCGAGACGCAGCTTCTGCATTTTTAGATATAGTTAGAAAGAATTCAAATTTTATTAAGGCTGGAGGAGTTGTACATTCTTTTGATGGTAGTTTAGAAGAAGCCAAAGAGATGATTGATTTTGGATTTTATATAGGTATTAATGGTTGGTAAGTAAATCATACACTGTTTGTAAATATGTGCATTATCCAAAAACATTATAACATTTAGCTTTTAAATATTATATAGTTCATTACGGACTGAAGAGAATTTGAAAACTGTTAAAGAAATACCTTCTAATCGTCTTTTATTAGAAACAGATTGTCCATGGTGTGAAATCAAACAAACACATCCATCTTATGCTCATATAAAAACTAAATTTGAATCTGTAAAAAAAGAAAAATTTAAAGATGGCTATATGGTTAAAGGAAGAAATGAGCCATGTACAATTATGTAAGTTTAATTAATATTTATTATACTAATTTATAATATATTAATTTGATAAAAATGGTAGATTATTGATTTTGGGAGTTTTTGAACATTATTTGTAATTNTTAATAATATAAAATTAACTGTTTAATAAATTATTATTTTTAGACAAGTTTTGGAATGCTTGGCATCAGTTAGAAAAGAAGATCCAGTTATATTGGGTCAACAAATATATGACAATACAATGAATTTATTTTTTAGAAATAATTGAAATGCAAATCATTGTTAAAAAAATACATTTGTTTGTAAAATATAAATTTATCATTATTTGTTATTTCAATGCATTACTATTGTAATGTCAAGGGAGATATAAATGATGTGTAGAATTGTTGTGTATGGTATTTCTAGGTTTGGAAATATCGTATGATAGAGTACCAATAGAGATTTTAAAGTGACCATTAATGAGAAAAGGAGTTCAAAAAAGTACATTGATATAACATAGAATATGTACAATGGCACTTGTAAAAATTGTGGGCAGAGTAACAGAAGGTTTTAGGGTAAGAGTAGGAATGCTCAAAGGTTTTGCTTTAAGCCCTTGCTTATTTTCTATAATGATGGATGAAATTACTAAAGAAATACAAGGAGAGGTGCCGTGATGCATGTTATTTGCTGATGATATAGTGTTAATAGGAGAAAACAGGGAGGAAATTACGAGGTACGAGTTTGACAAAGGAGAACCGAGGTAGGTGAAATGAGGAGATAAGTGAAAATGAGCGACGATGTGGTAGGAGAGATGGAAAGTTTTAAGTATTTAGGATTAGTTGTTCAAAATAACGGTGGTATTGACGAGGATGTAAGACACAGGAATTAAGTGTGAGTGGTTGAAGTTGAGAGAAGCGTCTGTGTGTTATGAGATAAGAGAATTCCAATGAGGTTGAAAGGTAAGTTCTATAATACTGTAATGAGACCAGAAATGATGTATGGTTCAGTGTTGGGCGGCTGACAAGAAAGTAGAGCACAAAATAAGTGTAACAGAGAGATGAATGCTTAGATTGATGAATGGAGTGACTTGAGAAGATATGATAATGAAAGAACATATATGAGGGAGTATAGGTGTAGCGTATAGATAAGATGAGAAATAATATACTCGGATGGTTAATATTGACAGTTGATTATTTCACGTAGTCATATTTATGTTTTAGATTTTTCACGTATCAATGTACCCATCAATCTTATTTTATACTTGTTTTCTGTGCTAAATTGTGATACTCATTTTTTTTTATTAACTTTAAAAAATAATATCTAATAAGCACAAAAGACGATGTAGTTTCAATACAACATTAAAAACATTATTTTTTTTAAGAGAAGCCGATGAAATAGTAAAAGTTCAGTGTGTAAATCTGTATTCTCAATAGAACATGGTGGGTTATCAAATATTAAATAGCACTTACAAAAAAAATTCCTTTGTTCACCGAGTTATTCTAATTCGTATGAATTTTTTTTTTTTTTTAAGCTTCTATAGCTCGTGCAGGGCTTTCGCTGCTTCTACTACTTGATGCCATCTTTCTCTATCTACGCAAAATAACTTTAGTTAGCGACAGCAATTCTTAGCTTTATCTCATTATGCATATTATTTTCCTTATTTATATTCGTTCCTAAATATTTAAAGTCGGTTACGGCCTGAAAAGTGTAAATGCCGACTATTAGGTCCTGTGTATTTCGAGTCCCATTGGTTTAGCCACCGCGATGAGGTCAGCCGTTTTTGTAATAATTTCTTCGCGTGAATACCCAATCACCATGATATCATCCGCATAGGCAAGTATCGTTTTGTTTCCAAGTAATTCCATTTCTTGATGAACTGGCAAAAAATTTATAACACGTATTAAGGAGCACTGTCCCCCTATAGTTTGTACAGTCTATTGGATCTCCTTTTTTGAAGATTAGGCAAATGATCGATGTTTTCCATATTTGAGGGATACTTCCATTTTCCCAAATATTTTTAATAATTCCGTGTATTTTCGACAATATTTCTAGGGTCGATATTTTGATTAATTCTGCGTTTATATTATCTTCTCCTGGTGCCTTGTTATTCTTCAACTATTTTATGATATCTTTTATTTCTTCAAAGTTAGGTGCCAGTAATTCTGGTTGTACCGTATAGTAGATTGTGTAGCTTTCATTCTCTTATTAAAATTCTCTTTTGTTACGTTCAGAAAGGTGTAAAAATATGTCTTGATAAATTCCCTTCCGGCTTCTCTTTTTTTCTTTCCTTATTGTTTTATTTGTTTTGTTTCGCTATAAAATATATTTGATTTTTTGCAGTTGGGTTCTGTATCATATTTTTCCTTGCTTCATCTCGTTTTTGTAATTCTTCTTTGCATCGTTCATTAAACCACGGGTTCTTATTGTTTTGTAGGCTAATCTGAAATATTTCAGCTGCTTTATTGACAGCTTCTTTTACTTCTTTCCATTCATTTTTTTGGTTTTGGTTTGACCAATTTGAATTGTTATTTAAAATATTAGATATTGTGGTTTGGTATGTTTTTATTGTTTTTGGATATTTAAATTTGTCTGTGTTAAGTCTTGGCTTTTGTTTTTTACCTAATCCATACTCTTGATAATTCGGCTCCTTTAAATGTTCTAACCTGACTTATGCACGATTTATGCCTTTTATAAATCAGAATATGATCTATTTGACTTAGTTTTTCTATCCGGAGATGTCCATGTGCGTTTATGAATTTCTTTTCGTTGGAACTAAGTACTGCTAATAGTAAGGTCCTTAGATGCTGCAAAACTGACTAGTCTTAATCCATTATTATTATTATTTAGATGAAAACTTTCTTCACTCGTCGTTTTTTTGAATATTCTTCCTCGTCCAACTTGCGCATTCATATCTCCTAGTACGACTTTTATAGAGTGTTTAGGTATGTAATTGAAAGTTCTCTCGAGAGTTTCATAAAAGGCATCTTTTAGATCTTCATCCGCTGTTTCCATTGGTGCATAACAGTTTATCAACACAATATCAAAAAATTTAGCAGTATTAGTAAGATAGCAAAGTCTATCGTTGACTGGTTCACACTTTTTCACTAAGTTTAGTAGTGTAACTTTTATCATAAAACCTACACCATTTTCATGCTACCCATTGTTTGATCCACTATAAAATAAGGTTACATTGTCTGTAATTGTCGGAAAATGACCAAATCAATATAATTTTTTTTTCATAGATACGTGAGGTATTTACCTATCAATTTGTATATTTTTTTTTATAAATTTGACTCTTTACCTGACTNTAAAATTAACTGTTTAATAAATTATTATTTTTAGACAAGTTTTGGAATGCTTGGCATCAGTTAGAAAAGAAGATCCAGTTATATTGGGTCAACAAATATATGACAATACAATGAATTTATTTTTTAGAAATAATTGAAATGCAAATAATTGTTAAAAAAATACATTTGTTTGTAAAATATAAATATATCATTATTTGTTATTTCAATGCATTACTATTGTAATGTCAAGGGAGATATAAATGATGTGTAGAATTGTTGTGTATGGTATTTCTAGGTTTGAAAATATCTTATGATAGAGTACCAATAGAGATTTTAAAGTGACCATTAATGAGAAAAGGAGTCCAAAAAAGTACATTGATATAATATAGAATATGTACAATGGCACTTGTAAAAAGTGTGGGCAGAGTAACAGAAGGTTTTAGGGTAAGAGTAGGAATGCTCAAAGGTTTTGCTTTAAGCCCTTGCTTATTTTCTATAATGATGGATGAAATTACTAAAGAAATACAAAGAGAGGTGCCGTGATGCATGTTATTTGCTGATGATATAGTGTTAATAGGAGAAAACAGGGAGGAAATGACGAGGTACGAGTTTGACAAAGGAGAACCGATATAGGTGAAATGAGGAGATAAGTGAAAATGAGCGAGGATGTGGTAGGAGAGATGGAAAGTTTTAAGTATTTAGGATTAGTTGTTCAAAATAACGGTGGTATTGACGAGGATGTATGACACAGGAATTAAGTGTGAGTGGTTGAAGTTGAGAGAAGCGTCTGTGTGTTATGAGATAAAAGAATTTCTATGAGGGTGATAGGTAAGTTCTATAAGACTGTAGTGAGACCAGCTATGAAGTATGGTTCAGTGTTGGGCGGCTGACAAGAAAGTAGAGCACAGAATAAGTGTAACAGAGAGATGAATGCTTAGATTGATGAGTGGTGTGACTTGAGAAGATATGATAATGAAAGAACATATATGAGGGAGTATAAGTGTAGCGTATAGATAAGATGAGAGATAATATACTCGGATGGTTAATATTGACAGTTGATCATCTCACGTAGTCATATTTATGTTTTAGATTTTTCGCGTATCAATGTACCCATCAATCTTATTCTATACTTGTTTTCTGTGCTAAATTGTGATACTCATTTTTTTTTTATTAACTTTAAAAAATAATATCTAATAAGCACAAAAGACGATGTAGTTTCAATACAACATTAAAAACATAATTTTTTTTTAAGAGAAGCCGATGAAATAGTAAAAGTTCAGTGTACCATGTGTAAATCTGTATTCTCAATAGAACATGGTGGGTTATCAAATATTAAACAGCACTTACAAAAAAAATTCCTTTGTTCACCGAGTTATTCTAATTCGTCTGAATTTTTTTTTTTTTTAAGCTTCTATAGCTCATGCAGGGCCTTCGTTGCTTCTACTACTTGATGCCATCTTTCTCTATCTACGCAAAATAACCTTAGTTAGCGACAGCAATTCTTAGCTTTATCTCATTATGCATATTATTTTCCTTATTTATATTCGTTCTTAAATATTTAAAGTCGGTTACGGCCTGAAAAGTGTAAATGCCAACTATTAGGTCCTGTGTATTTCGAGTCCCATTGGTTTAGCCGCCGGATGAAGTCAGCCGTTTTTGTAATAATTTCTTCGCGTGAATACCACCCAATCTCCATGATATCATCTGCATAGGCAAGTATCGTTTTGTTTCCAAGTAATTCCATTCCTTGATGAACTGGCAAAGATTTTATTACTTTCTCTAGAGCAACGTTAAACAAAGTTGGTGACAGAGCATCACCTTGTCTGAGTCCTGTACTTGCTTCAAACTTTGTGATATTTTTCTTCCCAAATTTAACTTTGCAATAGCTGTTAGAATTACATTCTTTCACCAGTTGAATTAGTTTAGCCGGTACTCCAAATTCTTCTAGAGCCTTTCATAACTCTTCTCTTATAATACTGTCAACGAAGTCTACAAAACATATGTATATTTCTTTCCCGAATTCGTAATATTTTTCCAATTACTGTCTGATTGTGAATATGTGGTT